AGCAGGAAGTGCAATATTTACTTCTAAAGCATTTAAAACCTATTAAGAACATAAACCAATCACATCATGGGTTGAGAATGAGATTAAAGGCTGGGTTGGAGAAAAAGGAACAGCTGTTTTGGGGCTAGATTGTCCCATGCCAAGTGGGGTGTTCACAAAGAAAGTTCATATTTAACAAATTAGGCAGTTAAAAGAAAAGTCTTCATACCAGCTTGAGAAAATCACAGGAGAAGCTCCTTTGCTACTGAAATTCAGGCAAGACAAACTTCAAGCGAAGGAGTAGGGAAAGTGAGCTTTATTGTCTCTTGCACCAGTTCCATCCTTTTCCATTGCTTACACAAGGGGAACAGAGACACCCAGTTTGGTGTTATGGTTAAGGTATCAGCCTAGAACCAGAAGACCGTGAGTTTGAGTTCCATCTTAGGCATCAACCCAGGCTGGGTAACCTTGGAGCAGTCACTCTTTCTTAGCCTAAGGAAGGAGGTAGTGGAAAACCACTTTTGTAATCTTGTCAAGAAAACTGCAGGGACTTGTCCAGACAATTGCAAGAGTCAAGAGTCAACACTGACTCATAATCACCAAGTGCTCTCTGTGCTACTGATAACTGATACGTTATCAGTTAATTATGCTGCACAGATGTATGTACACCGACACAACTAATCTTTCCTGATTCTTCCGGTGCTGAATTTGAAAGAATCTTGACACACCAGAAGTTTTTTTTTACTTCTGAAAGTCTAGTTTATCTGATCACTGCAGTAAAGAGGATAATCTTTGTGAGTTCCTGTTTCTCACTGATCTTAAGCCATGTATGTTAAAAGATTATCTGGTCCTCCCCTTTCCCTTAGTTTCCACTTACCTTCTTTCTACTGGTACCTTTTTTTTAGTGATTTCAAAATCTTAATGAGGCATCCTGAAATGAGAACTTGGTTTTCTTTTCTTCTAATGCAGGGGTGTCCAACCTTGGCAACTTTAAGCCTGGAAGACTTCAACTTCTGGGGAATTCTGGGAGTTGAAGTCCTCCAGGCTTAAAGTTGCCAAGGTTGGACACCCCTGTTCTAATGTATTAAATTATGCAATGACAATATTAAAAAGTGGGGTGGGGCTATCAGATTTTCTTTAAACTCCTACGGCTCAACATTATACAAGCTTCAATATGTGTCTGCTCCAATGATGTACATGGAATGTGCCTAATTTTAGATAAATAAGTGTAGTTTGCAAAGGGACATTGCCCACACTCAGCTAAATAAAATCTCCCTGTTAAAATTGTTTTCAAAATATTCTCTGTGACTCACTACGGAATCAAAATGTGAACTTAAAAGAAAACAGGATAGGAATAGCATTGAACGTTGAACTTTGGTGTTGGAGGACATTCCTAAGAACACTGTGGAAAACTAACCAATGGATCATTGAATAAATCAGTCCAGAGTTCTCATCAGAGGCATATTACTTAAAATAATAAATGCCATTTGAAAGCTGATTCACTCCGTTTAAAAAGACCTTCCTGGAATTCTGAGTAATCTTTTTGTATATGTGCTTTTCATCAATGTGGTGTTCTAATCAATGCTAGGATTCTTTCTGTTCCCAAGATATTTCTGTCTATTTTATGAGTTCCTTTGCATGTAGAAGCCAACATATTTTAGAATGGATGTTCTTATAATCCACATCAGCAGTTGAAGTGTTGCATCATAAAAATCATACTAAATTCAGAAATATTTTTGTTCTTGGACTGGAATTTGTACAAGTTGTCTCATAAGAACTGGCTGTTTACATGATTGAGGAACAGCATGAGTAAGTAAATTCTGTATTCTATCCCATCCCATCCCATCCCATTCCAAATTCTATTCTTATCGAAGTCTTTCTTTTTAAATGTAACAATCCAAATATAGTTGGAATGTCCACAAACATACTATATATGTAACACCATTGCTCTGTTCTTTTAATTCCAGCATTTAATATTCAAAAGTGTAGTCATTTTGAAAAATGAAAGGTCTCTTTAGTTATAACATATTTTATGTTTAAAATATGTAAGCTGTCCTTCAAAGATGGATTAGTGTCTATTCTTCTTTAGCAAATAAGAAAAGTTTGATTCTGTTTGTAATCAGTAGAAAGAAAAGCAGGTATCTTGGAAAGAAGTCATGAATGGCAGGGAAGACATTGAAAAAACATTATTCCGCAGAATCCAGTTATGAAATGACAAAGAAAGTATGCAAATGTTGGATTTTGTCCAAATAATTTTTGCGGAATTAGAAAAACATGTGCTAATCATTATGAGGTAAGCTGCTTGTCATAATATTGTTAAATATTTTTCTGAGAAGGAAGGAAAGGGAGTGAAAAAACAGAATCAAAACTTAAACTTAATTAAATCATTGGTAAAAAAAATACGTAAGTATGGAACCATGTGCAAAAGAACTTCATAAAATAATTTCCAGAAGCCCAAGCTGCTGATCTTGTATAGGCATTTGTTGACCTATGGAATAGGAAACTTATTAAATGGGCCATTGACCGGATTCATCTTGCTGGTCATGTAAAGCTTCAGTTTCCTCATTGGTTTTCTGGAGATCTCTATATAGGCAGGAAACAGCCAGAGGGCAAATATGGAAGATCTTTGAGACACAACGGTATCTCTTGCATGGAGTCGATAAGGATTGTCAGTCATCCAGGTAAAGTTGTCATGGCAATTGTTGGTTCAAAATGCTTCATTGCTTATCCAACATTGAAAAAGCTACTTCAGAACCAACAAGAAAAAAAGTCAAGTTGCCATGACTCAATTTCCAGATTCTTGCATGAAGATAATTGTATCCTCATCCAACAGCTCCTTTTACACACTTATAATCAGCCAGAAAAGTAATCGTTGAAGTCTTCAAAGACCAGCTATAATGAGACTGAGGCACTTTCAGGATAGAATAGTTACAAATTTTGGTCAAACAGAAAACAGCTTTTGATACCATTCACCATCCACCTGTGGCTTTACTGTTTCTTAACTGTCCCCTTCTCCTGGCAGCTCTGTGCATGCGCACATCAGGAACAGGCTCCAGCTGTTCTTCTGCCCCACTGATCTCCGACTCCGAAGGCAGATAATAATTGTTGGGTGGCCCTGCCCCCATCTTTGCCTCCGACGCAGAGCACTCATCAGAGCCTTCCCCAGACTCCAGGACTGGCCCATGTTCCTCCCCAACCTCCTCACTGTCCGAGTCTGCCACCAGCTCTGCTGGTGGGCCACAACACCAGTAATCTTGTATAAATCTATAGTGCGTTAGATACACTAGAGAACCGCAACTGGGTTTTATTTCAAACTGGATTTTAAATCATCATCATCATGAGAAGGACTGAATAGGTGGATAAAAATACCAAATCTAGTCTAAACATGTGGTTGTCTGTGGGACACAAATCAATACAGGTAGTCCTCAGCTTACAACAGTTTATTTAGTGACCCATTCAAAGTTACAAATGTTTTGAAAAAAGTGAGTTATGGCCATTTTTCACACTTATGACCGTAGCTGCATCCCTATGGTCACATGATCAAAATTCAGATGGTTCATATTTATGATGGCTGCAGTGTCCCAGGATTATGTGATCAATTTTAAGCAGTACTGCAGACTACTTCTGCTGACTGCCAGATGCCAACAGTTTGTCAGTTCGAGTCTCACCAGGTTGAAGGTTGACTCAGCCTTCCATCCAAGGTGGGTAAAATGAGGGCCCAGATTGTTGGGGGCAATAGGCTGACTCTGTAAACCGCTTAGAGAGGGCTGTAAAAGCACTAGGAAGCAGTACATCAGTCTAAATGCTATTGCTATTTTACAACCTTCTGGCCAGCAAAGTCAATGAGGAACCCAGATTCACCTAACAACCGTCTTACTAAGTTAACAAATGCAATGATTCTCTTAACGACTGTGGCAAGAAGAGTCTGGGGCACACTCACTTAACAGATCTTTCACTTAGCAACATAAACTTAGGGCTAAATTGTGGTCGTAACTCAAGGACTACCTCTAATAAACCTGGAGGGAAACAGAAAAGATGGGAGAAAAAGGAGGCCTATTTGAAGTTCTAAAGTTTTCCTTTGGGGGAAAAAATGGCATTAGAACCAGGCAGAATGTCTATGGAGATTCTCAGTGATCCAGGTCATGGTTGTCCCAAAAGTGCTTTTTCAAGAGGCAACTGGATTTCCTTGGTTTTTCTTTGAAGACATTTTGCTTCTCATCCAAGAAGCTTCTCCAAGTGGGATCCTTCCATTCCCCACTATCCTGTCAGAGCTGAAGAAGCGTCTTGGATGAGAAGCAAAACGTCTTCAAAAGAAAAAACAAGAAAGTCCAGTTGCCTCTTGAAAAAAAAGCACCTTTGGCAGAACCAGGCAGGTGAACCTCTTGACACCCAGCTAGTGGCACTTTCAAGCAGGGGCAAGTGGGGGGGGTGATAAATGGCGCCTGCCAGGGCTGTCTTAACACCTGGGCCTGATGGGCACTTGCCCATGGGCCCCACGACCCAGATCTGTACATGTTAACCCTTCAACACACCTTGCATCATATAAACACAGCAACCTATTTATTACATTTTAATGCATTTTTAAATTAATACTAACATGCAAAGATATGTTTAATTTTATCCATCATTTTACATTTTTATTCCTGTGAGCAGACGTCGTAGGGGTCCCCCAGTTCACTGCTTTGCTGGAGGCCCATAACGCTGTTAAGACGCCACCCCCACGGGCTATAAATATGAACCGTGGCTGCACAAATCTCACGCATCTGGAGAACATCTGGCCGGGGAAGTAGAGCTGAGCAAGCTTAAGCCCACTTGCCTCAGCCGCTCTTCTCCGTTCCTGGTGTGTGGGGGAGACAAAAATTGGGACGATCGCCCGCGGGCGGGCGGGGGGACAGCCGGCCTCGGTTTGGCTCGGGGTAGGAGTAGCGAAAGGGCAGCGAAAGGGCAGCGGAAGGAGTGGGCGCTACCCAGAAGGGCGCCTCCTCGCCGGGGCTGGAGGCTGGCCAGGGAGGGGCCGAGCCTCTGGGGCGCTACTTGAATCTGGGTGGCGTCCGCGCCGGTCCAAGTCCGTGTCAGCCCCTCAGCCTGTCTCGTCGCTAAGGATGCCTCGGATGGCGGCGGTCGTTCTCCTGCTGCTGTTGCCCGCGCTTTGCTCGGCTTGGCCGAGCATCGGCCGCTACCCGGAGTACCTGCGGCCTCTTTCCCGGGGCAACTTCCATGCCTCCGACTCGCAATTCTTGCGGGTCGCCAGGGCGGCCGTCAACTATCTCAACTACGGACAGGGCTCGCCCAGCTTGCTCCGGAAGGTCGCGCTGCTCGGGAAGACTTCGGTCAGGGTAGGTAAGAAAAAAAAAAGAGTCCAAGCTCCCGCCTTGGAGCTAATATCTGCGGGGAAGGAAATCCTCTAGGCCAGGGTTGTCCCAAAGATGCTTTTTCGAGAGGCAACTGGACTTTCTGGTTTTTCTTTGAAAATGTTTCGCTTCTCATTCAAGAAGCTTTTTCAGCTCTGTTGATGTTCTTCAGATTCTGTTTTCTGTTCATGGTTGATCCTAAAAAGCAAAAGCACCAACCACTTTGATATCTGCATTTCAGTTCTAGGGCTGGTTGTTCCACCTGTTGCCATTAGCTTGGTATTCTTTAACTTTCATTTTAGTCCTATTTTTTTACTGTGCTCCTTGACTTTTATTACTTTTATTATTGCAGATCTTTTGCAATTACAACTATCCAGACAGTCTCTTCAATTTATCACAGGTTGTTTCTTCCTTTAGTTATAAAATCATGTTTATCTTCTTCCAGCCCAGTTTACCTTAATATGTAAGATAGCCATGGGGTTGATTGCCTTACAGAATTCATTACTGAGAAAATGCAGAATGCCCTTGAGAAGAATTGTATCCACTCATCAGTGGGGGGCTTAAATGCCCTTGTTTGACTTTTCATTTGCAAGTCTTAAGCAACACAGTTCTGTAAGTGGAAAGTAGACATGGGTGATGGGGAGAGACAAGCACATCTGCTTATTCAAATAACTGAGTTCTTATACAAAGAACATTGTAGTGTCCTTTCATTAAACTCCCTTTTGCAAGCAATATGCTTGGAAATGGATGTGGCTAAGGCAGAAGAGTACTTTGTGAAACTTAGAGACTTTGTCACCTGATGAAAATCATGCTTAAATCTGAGCCCTGTGTTTGGCTTTTAAGTGGTTAACATTACTAAAAAACAACATCAAAATACATAGAATAACCATGCTAACAACAGTGATTGCAAAAATTTACTGTATAAATTACCATCAACATGTGCAGTGATGTTAAGACCTGCATTTTTAAAAAACGTTTTCCCTAGTTTTATACTCTGCCCATAATCCGCTGCTGTTAGGTGACCAATAAATTCAAATAAAATAATTACTCTGACAAATAACCATTCCCCATTTCACTGGAGAAGTGAAGTCTTTCTCTTGAAGGTATTTAATCTTCAAATCTTAGTCCTATCTTGTTTTCAGCAGTTTAGAGGTAAGAAGGCAGGTGAGGTAATTATTTCTTGCTGAAATTCCCACCAAACAGTCCGGAGACTCAGATAAAATCTTAAGACTATCAAAATTAGCTGGCATCCTTTACTGCTCCAGGATGGTTTACTGCTTCATGGGTTCAAAGAAGGTCTCCTGTCCTTGGTCCAGAAGCAATAAACACAGACTGATGGCATTTCCTTCATTCTGAGCTTCAACTCTGAGAACGCTACTCTTTTCTAAGCATTGGTAATACTACTGACCTATAAAGGATCCTTATGGCCATGTTTACTTTAATCCTAAATGGGTGGACTTTAGTTTTTAGATGAGCCACCACAAGCTCTAGAAGCCACCTTAGGACCAGTTCCCACAGCTTATTAAAAGCTAGATCACCAAGTTCTTTAATCTGAGTTCATTCCTGGTTGGCCACACTATTTGAACTCTTCCCACCCATTGTAACTTCAGAATTCCCAGCTACCCTGGCCAAAGGGAGTTGTAATCTAATTAACACAGTTGGCCTAACATATTCTAACAGAAATGCTGGCTAGGGAATTTTGAGAGTTAAAGCCCACATATCTTAAAATTGCTGAGGTTGAGAAACACTCATCTAAAAGTGACTAGTTAGAAGAAGACTGAATAGTGTGACTAGCCTTTCAGCCAGTCAGTCACATGTTTTTTTCCCCTCCTTTGCTGATTATGTGATGATTAAACAATACTTGGAACACAGGGAAAGATTAAACTTTAAGCATTAAACTTGGTTTGTGGGATGTAATTAATGCAGAGACTTATTCTATCTCCATTCTGTCCAGGAAAGAAAGGTTTTTCTAGAAGCAGAATAAATCAGCAATCTTATCTTCTTAGGTTTCCATAAACAGATATCCCTACCGGTAAGAGACAGCAAATCTGTACCACATATGAAGGTGTCATCTAGGTTTACACATTGTGTTTATTCAACACACTATAGTAAAGCAATATTGTGATGTCAACAGAAAGCAGATTGTCCCTAGTGTTTCTTAAATCTTCCAAAAATGTTGTCATTTAAAAGTCAGAGGGCAGAAAGATAGGTTCACACATTGTGTTAAGCTATGGTTTGTTTAATCATGGTTTAAAATGCTACTTGCTTGGATTTAAAAATACACCAACCCCAAACAAGCAGACTTCATTATGGGTTAATCAGTATGACCATAACCAGAAAAATAATTGTGAATTTTAATCATATCGCTTCATCCTTCATATAAAGTCTAGGTGCCAACCTTACTCAGGTGGTTAAGAAATGCTGCATTTAAAATCACTTTCAGGTTGTAATCTCTGCCTATGTATCTTTTCTTATTTTGCAATAACCTACACAATATTATATAAACTCTCTGTAGAAACATTTTTGAAGCAGGCAGCAAATACCTTGAGGTATTTTCTTTTTACCTTTTACTTTTACAGAAGAACAAAAGATAAAAGAAAGCAATCTCTGAAATGTTTTACAAAATAAACCAACTGGCTGGCCAAAATTGAAAGAGAATATCTGTTAAAATTTCTTTCTCATCAGATGTTGCTTTTGAATGCAATGTGCACTGAAGTTATTCTTCTGAGGAAAATGCCATTTCTTGATTTAAAACAAAAAGTAAATGCATTACAGTTTTATGGGTTCAAAATACTGGTTGAGTTTCGGCTGCTTCTTTGATGCATGTTCTGCATGAATTGTTGGGAAGTATAAAAGTTCTGTGTCTATAATATTTGCTGGGTGCAAAAAAAAACTTGGTGGACGTTTGTTGGCTGAGCCTTGCTTTATTTTATATTTCTTGGCTCACCAGGGAAGGATTTGTCCAAAATATTATTCACAATACTATTCAACTCATTTCATCTGTTTAAAAAAGTTGTTTTTGGTTACTATTGAGATTTATTTTGGTGCATTTACTGACTTCAAACAAGGAGCCCAGTGGCTCATGTGGTTAGGACACTGGGTTAACAAGCAGCAAGCCTTTGTTCGAGACCCGAGTTCTGCCATGGGGCAGGGTGAGCTCCTATCCTTCGCTCTAGCTTCTGCCAGGTTCAAGAAAGGAACCCCCAGCTGGGTGTCCTCCAGGCAGCTATGATGTCAGTGGCTTATCCTTTCAACCTGGAGTGTGTGTAGCCGACATCAAAAACCTCATGCCATAATAATAAAAATGTTAACATATGCGTTTCCAACCTGTGGCCCTGGACAGCTAGTAAGGCAGCCTCCATAAGACCGTAAACATTTAACATCATTATGTGATTTCGAGCAATATTTATAGACATTAATTATGTATTTTATATGCTGCCCAAGACAATTCCTGTTCATTCAGTGCAACCCAGGCAAGCCAAAGGTTGGACAGCCCTGTGTTAATGTTTAACAGCTGCAGTGGTGCAGCAGTTAGAGTGCAGTACTGCAGGCTATTTCTGCTGCCTACCGGCTGCCTGCCTGCAATTGGTAGTTCAAATCTCACCAGACTCAAGGTTGATTCAGCCTTCCACCCTTCCAAGGTATGTAAAATGAGACCCAAATTGTTGGGGACAATATGCTGACTCTGCAAACCGCTAGAGAGGACTGTAAAGCACTATTGACTCAAGGCCTTGGACTGATTTTGTTGCAACAGATTAAATCTGCTTCTATCTAATCTGGGCAGGGTTTCCCTCAATTGTTTCCACTGGGAGGAAATCCGATTGCATAAGCCGAACCCACTGAACTGCCACTAACAGTTTCCTTCACTTTTCTCTAGCGTTAAGCAGAGACATATGTGGGTATACATAGGAAACCATATAGGAGTTTCAGGGTTTAGATGAGATTGGCAAGCTTAAAAAAAATGAAAAAACTTTCATAATGTGGTCACCAGGACACAAGTCTAATTGCGGTTTTAAGTCAAGGATTATGTGTACTTTAATGCTAAAGCAACCCTAAATATTAGATGAGACTAAAAATGAGACCACTTCCTTGAATACAAAGTCCCAGGAATTTTTCAGAAGGAAAAACTAGTAGGGAGCAAATGCAGGATTCATTACATAGAAGTAAGTGCTTACATTAAATACTCATCATTTGAACTTGATTATAAGATTAATGCATGACTCGTTTGAGAAAACTGAAATATCTTTTTTTCTAGAATGACAAAGCAGAAAAAACGCATTACATCCCAACCGCATAGTTTTGCTAACATTCCTGAAATGATAGAAAAGACATACCCAACAGTACTGCTTAAACGCTATATAGTATTTTAATGATCTGTCGGTTTAAAAGGTGTTTGTGCTGTGCGTGCCATACATATTGCGAAGTGTAACTTTAGCTTGTATGTCTTGCAGAATATCCCAGGAGTTGGACATGAGTACTCCTTGCAGTTTTATACAAAACACATTCAAACTGGGGTAAGTGGATTGTTCTACTTTCTGTAGAACAACTTCTGTAATAGAATTTTTCTTTCCTGTCATCAATGCACCAGAAACCAGCTATGATATCTGCTTTCTTCAGCATCATATCTAACAAATTCCATAGCGTGCTTGGATACAGCAAGCTCCTTATTGTATGTCTGAGCAAAATCCATCCGTTGATTCAATTTATATAGCCACACATCTCATATAGCAACTCTGGGCAGCTTACAATATGTAAAAACAATGCTGGTCTGTGGCCCTAATGGGCATGTGACATTTTGGAGGTGGCTAGTGAAGTAGAGAACCCCCAATCTTCTCTCTGTGCCCTTGTGCCCTCCCTCTCCGCCCTGCTTAGTTTTATTTTCATTTAATTTTTAAATTTAAGATCTTTATTGTTTTATTCTGCATTTTATCCAATGTCTGTAAGCTGCCTAGAGTTGCCTCTGGTGAGATGGGCGCCATGCAAGCTTGATAAATACTGTAAATAAAGCACAACACAGGCAGCAGCTCAGAAACTAAATCAATGTAAACCATGTAGTACAACCCAGGTTTTCACCCCCACTCCAATCCCATGCTTGGGAATACAACCCTGTCTTAAGGGCCAAGTGAAAACCTGACAAGGTTGAGAAAAATCTAATCTTGAGAGGAATGGCATTCCACATGAGAGAAACCCGAGAGATGACATTCTTCAATGACAGGACCCGCAGAATGCCTCTTCTGTTGGATCTAATGGGATGAGAACACACAAGTGGGGGAGAGGTGGTTCCAAAATAACCTAACTCTATACCCTGAAAGGCTCTGTTCAAGAGAAACCAGCACGAAACACATTGGCAAGCAATATAGCTCACGGAGGAGCGCTTGAACAGATTCATGCAGAGGCACATTCATAGCTGCCTCTATCACAGCATCTGCACAACTGCAGCAGAGCCATGTGGAAGGCACTGAAGTTGTCCACTGGAGAGGTGATTTTGAGCAGAAACTCTGGGGCTAGGAAAGGATACATAAGATGAAGTTGTGCAAGAACCTACCTGGCCATGGCTGCCAGGTATTCTTTAAACAGGATCTGCCAGTTCAGGAGGATACTCAGAATGTGCAATCGGTTCTGTTTCGGGTAGTGGAACCTCATCCAGAACAAGAGATGGCAAATCCTTGGCTCCATGGGACCTTAATATCCAGAACCAGAGTCTTGCTAGGATTGATTTGAATCTGTCTTTCCCTATCTAGACCCCCATAGCCTCCAGACACCAAGGCAGGCCCTCCAATGAATCATTTGGTCACCCAAGGGCAGATATGTGGTACAGGGTATCCTTAGCACTCCATTGGGTTCTGAGATACCCAGCAAAGCAGGAGCTGTGGACTAGATAAAAGACTCTGGAACTACTTCACATTTCCCCCTTCCCCTCCCACTCCAAGGGGCAGAAGATATGTCTACCCACATTCTGTGCCCCTACTGGTTAGAGGAGTGCAGTCCGTCCCAATCCACTAGGTGATTTACACCTAGTTAGATTTCTCCATGTGGGGATACTGTTGTAGCAGTATTTGCTGCCCTGAAATATGGGATAGCAAAGAAGAAGTTGTAGGATTTAATTCTATGAAAGCTTCCCATCCTTTCCATGTCAGGGTTCCAAGTAATATACCCATAGCAAACATAACTCCAAGGCAGGTAGATTCCTCAAAGAATAGTTTTATTTGGATATATCATATTGGCACAGGCTGGTGAAAACCAATTTTTAATGTTCCCACCATTTTCACCTAATTAAAAGTTTTCTCCCTTCCCCAAACACTCATCATGTCACATGATCCAATCAAGATGTCGTCCGGTTGCCTGGTGACTTCACTCCTCCCCCTGACTCCCTGTGAGAATGTCCTTGGTTCCCAGGAGAAAGTATTTTGTTTTGGCTACAAACCGCAACTATTTCTATTCCCCCCTCCCTATCTCTCATCTCCAGTGTGGCAATGCTGAAGTCTCAAACTGGCCTCTGTCAGGTCAGCTTCAGAGTTGACATCTATCTCTGACCAAGCAATGTTTTTCTCACTACATAATGCTTGAATTTCCCCCTCTTTGACATTTTTTTGGAAGAGATAAAGTGCAAATAACACCCCCTGGTTACTCCTGGCAAGAGCTTCTATACCTACAGCAGATAAATATTTATCCTAGGTGTGTCTTTTTCTCTCTCTGCAATATTCACAAAAATCGCTTCCATTGCCCTCAAGTGGTTTTCCACCTTAGAAGTGGCATTGTCCATTTTGTAAACAGTTTTTCTTCTTCACAGTCTGCCGCTAGAACTACTGTAGGTAAGGACAACATAGCAAGGAAGTTTGGAAGAAAGCAACCCCATATGTTATTTTCTTTTGTTTTAAAGCAATACCTAGGAAAATGCAATGCAAAGGTACGCTACCAGAAGAAAATGTCTAAACCACTGATCGATATCAGTTGCACAGACAATAAAGATGCAGACCAAATCATGAAGGACGACTACAGCCTATATACAAAACTTAAAGGTACGTCCTGGGGAGGGAATCTTTTTCATAACCACCCAGGACTGCATGCCCCTCCCTTAATGAACCCATTTCTAGATTCGCACGATACATTGAGCAATGAATTTACCCGATGACCTGGTTTTGCAGAATGCATGAAACTGCAAAAAAAAATAAATTAAAAAATTGAAGCAACATTAAAACTAACCAAACTTAGCATGTTGTGTCTTTCACTTACTTATGTTGTGTAAAACCAGCCAACAGGTTCTTGATCTATGATGCTTCCTTACTTTCAGGGTTGATCTGGCAAATGTAAATATCCAAAAGCCCAGGTAGCACTTGAGCTATGACTGTAATGGAACCTGCCCATTATGGTCAGGAGGTCCGTTAAGCGAACTGTCTCACTTAATGACCCCAATCCCTGTTCTCCCCAATGCATTTGTTAAATAAGTGCACATGTGTTAAGTAGAGCCTTAACACATGTGTTAAGGGAAGACCCTGAGGAACCTAATGCTGGCATAAGCCCATCTACTTGTGGTCTCCCAAGGCCTTTCCTTACGCTTTGATATAACCCATGTTCCACTTCCCACCCTTTAGGGTTCCAACAACCATGTGGGGCCTCCTCCCCATCCTCTGTCACCAATTGCTCAGTTACTTTTCAAAGATCTCCAGAGCTCAGAAGATTGGCCTGGGGAAGGAGGACAGGCCAGTCTGTTCCTGGGCCGCATGGCACAATCCCACAAGAAATCATCTTTTTCTGAGGGAAAAATAATGCTGGCGAAACTCTTGGTTTCTTTCACTAACGGTAACCTTAGCTTTGCCAACCTCACTTGGAAAAAGCCGGCCACTTAATGGGATTGTGCCAAGTGGCTTAGCAATGGGGTGGCTTGTCCTCCTTCCCTCAGCTCTGGAGATATTCAAAAAGGTGAGTGATCAGTGATGGAGAATGGGGAGCAGCACCAACGGGGTAGCAAAGCAGGCCCAATGCTTTTGGGGAACCCGGCGATCCAGGATGGGGTTATGGAATATGGGGGGGGGGGGGGGGGGGGGGGGGGAGGCGGAGGCGGAGGGAATGCTGCATCTATGCAGTCAGTTGTAAGAGTGAACAACCACAAGGTACTGCAACGAACATAACTTCAGGATTGGGTCATATAAGTACCTTTGGGGAGGATCTGTTGTATGATTGAACAGTTGCTAAGCGACTGGTTATAAGTCAAGGACTTCCTGCACTGGATTATTAATTATTAGCAGTCTAGCCTTTTAAAAACAACACACATATAATGATGCAACCACATCCATGTGTGTAGTACTTTAATTCTGTACTCAAAGTATGAACAGTTCTGATTTTAAAAAAAAAAAAAAATTACACTTTTCCATTGGAGTTTTGCAAAGGTGACGCTTACTGGAGATGATATAAATGCTAACCAAGATGTATCTCCAACTTCATCAAAGGGGTGAGTGGGTGTTTATAAATCAGGTGTAGCACCTCTGCCTCTTAAAACATATTAATGTTTGCTGGTAAAATTTATCTTTTGACTCTGTATGAGAAAAACTTCAGCTTCCATAAAACAGGTTAACAACCCCTTGAAATCTAGCTCGACTTCTAATAAGGTGGGCTTCTTTATAGTAATATTACCTCCTTTATTCTTTTCTCTCCCTCTTTTGTCCACCCTTCCTGCTGCAGCCACATCATCACCAGATGAATTAAAATATTTTGCCAACGTTGGCAGCAGTTACATTGCGTGGAAGGAATCAAGTGAATATGACGGTTATGTCACGAGGGAAATCAAAGATGCAAAGAGATGGGTAAGTGACCAGAAAAGCTATCACCAGCCAATTTAATCAGTATGTAACACTGAACAACAATCACATATTAGCCTACCATTTTTAAGCTGAACCTGTATGTTTACTTTTTGGTTCAGTGTGTTTCAGGGAATGCTCCTGTTAAATAAATGCCTAAATGAGGGGTGTCAAACTCAAGGATGCTTAGATCTGGCCTGCAGCGCCATTGCGGGACCTGCCTGCAGCGCCTCTGCCAACAAAAATTGCTGGCAGAGGGTTACAGGAGGCCGTTGCAGCCGGAAACGGAGCTCGGGAGCCCGTTTTTGCTGGCAGAGTGTTCAGGCCCCCACAAGCACCCCCGACACAAGTGACATCAAGATGGCCATACCCATCCCAGCCCCCTCCCCCCCCACCCGAGGTCAAACACAACCCTGATCTGACCCTCAATTAAATGGAGTTTGACACCTCATTTTCTAAGACACTGGTGGCCTATTAAGTTCATAATTTTAATCTCTGGCATGGTTCAGATTTAATACTAAGGTTTTCAAAAATAGATTGGATAACCACTTGACGAGGATGCTATAAGGTCTCCTATCTTGAGCAAGGAGTTAGTCCTTTCCAGCCCTATGATTCTATGTAACACACATTTTAAGAAAGCTAAGGACATGGACAGTGAAGGAGGAGGGGTGAGGTAAGGAAAAGAAGACACTGGGAAGGGTTTTGAGTTGGTGATGGGCCAGTTAGAAAGCTACTGTTAATGTCCTTGGCTTCAAGCATAGTATACCATACTCACCACACGTTCTTCTGCTCCCCAAACTCTCTAGGGCAGCCTTCCTTAGCTGCCAATGTTTTTTATCTTGAAGCACAGTGTAAAGACAGAGCTAGAAAGACCTGAAGATAATGATGGTGCAAGTTCACAGGCTCTGTGGAAAAAGAGGGAAGATACCAGCCCTACTTTCTCCTTAAAGAAATTCTGGGTTTTCTTCTGGCCCCAAACTGGAAAAACCAAAATGATCCAGGGTTCAAACCCCTATCGGGATGGTTTGACAGAACTTCTGGAGGACAACTTCAATGGTATGGGACATTGTAGAGAAAGATCATCTTCTTTGAACGAACCCGTAATCCCATGTGGGGTGGTCTGGGCAACTAAATGGAGCGGATATGTTTACTGGCTGGATGCCCTTCCTGTCGCCAGTGCGGAGTTATATTCAGCAAATATATTCTCAATGATACCCAGAGAAATATCTGCCTCTACCTAGGATTGAACTCACAGCCTCCTGGTTGTGAGGCAAGAGCTCCACCTCTAGGCCACCGCACCATTCATTGTAAAGGAAGATGGATTTACTAAAATGTTAGGAAATATCCAAATATAACATTGCACTCTCAATACAATATTTCAGCATGCACAACGTGTCTGAATGCTAACAAGATGCTCCTTAAAATATTATCTTCTCCAGCCTTCTTTATTCCAACCTTTTTTCCCCTTCCTGCCCAGGTACGTGACAACGCACTTGAATTTGACTACACCATTTTGGTTGATAGTGATGTCTCAAAGGTATGGAAGCTTCAGTATTCAACAGTCTTGTTTTTATAAAATAATAAGCCTTTTATTTTATTTTAGAAGTATTTTTTCATTAGGTGAATTAAGTCCAGTGACTATATAATAATAATTCCAATCTATTTTGTAAGGACATTAATATCAGGGAAGAAATGTATTCAAATAATTTATTACATAATTCAATACATGCTTATTCCAAAATAAATCCTGCTAAATGCAGTAATACTCAAGGAATTAAGTTTAGGATTGCAGCCAATACATACACACTCTGAAATATTACTGGAATCAATGGATTTCCTCTAAGTAGACTTACTCCTGTCATTGATTATTTTTACAGAATTTTTCCTGTCATATGCGTATTACCTGGAACTTGGAGCTGCCAATAAAAGTGAAATATACATGTTTTTCAGAAGACACTTCTGCAGAATCCGCAGATGGCTCTGGGGAAGAGTCAGGTTCCTATGATTCCTTTCAAACTAATTTTTAAGTAGGGAGGAAAAACCTTCCATTTGATGCAGTTGTAAACATTTTTGCAAAGGTGTAGCACATCTTTTGTTAATATTCCAAATTCAGTATTGACAATCTTGCATCTAAATCAATGCAATCTTTCTGGAAGCTTTGCACTAGTCACTTCTGATCATAAATATCTCTTTGCTGCTTAATTTCATAGAAATTCATTTTTACAGATTTTTTATTGTATGGAAAAACTGATGTGTCACTAAGTTTCTGGCATTAGAAGTAACTCATAAGGCATTTTTAAATATATATGAACAAAGATCTTTGGAAATTTAAAAACTGCCATTTTAAATAAATATTTGTTAAAATATTTTTAAATTTTGGAAAATATTTGATGCTGAGATTTAACTTATCTTCAATAAAAGGGAAAGAATATATTTTGTCTGTGTCACTTCATATTGTACCACCTGAGCTACAATATTTCAAAATTTCCTTTTGATGCTTTATATAAGGATGTTTAAACAGGGTAGAAAATGAAGCTTGATTACTTCAAGTTTTTCTGAGATATAAGAGTTCAAAGCAAGCCTCTGCCAGCAGCCTTTTAAGTACGTAATTTTAGGGAGAATAAACTAAAATTTACCATACACTCTTCACCTAATTGAACTAAAATTTACCATAAATTCATATCTAATATTTTAAAACGTACAGGAAAAAAAGAACTTACACGTAAATTTTGCAGAGTTGAGTGCCTTCGCTAGATGGAAAAAAGCAAATAAATAAAATGTCTGTGTCAAATACATAATATATTGTTTTTTGAAGACAAATTACAACTGAATTTGGAGTTTTAACTCTGGTCCCACAGCCCAGCTCTAATCTTCTGCATCTACATGCATTAGAAGTAAAGCGTCTGATTGCAAGTAGCACTTGCTTCAAATGCAAACTGCAGCTGTGCACAGCTTCAGTTCTATTGGAACAAAAGGTGTACAGATCATTGAAACACATACATTACAATTTGAATCCCTAGGTCTGAGGCTGGTTAATTTATAAAAAAAACACACATTTGTTAGTTGCAGAAACTATATTCCTACTTGGACTGAAAGCAACCTAATGCATGCAATGCGGAATTGTATACACTTTGTTTCTTAGATCAGAACGAATAGCTGATTTTAACACTTTAATTTCCATCAAATTTACCCCAGAATAATACTTGACCGCTGTTTTCCCTTGATTATCTACGGAATCACACTCACAGGTAGAAGCAGAACACTACCCCTGACTTCCAATCTTTGCAATTTATCATTGCAAATACTCACATCTAGATTCAGGCAGTAAACTACCAAAATGACCAGTGCCATTTCCATCTCATTAACAGTTCCAAACAAGGGACACAGATAATCCATTCTTAATACAATTGTTATAGTTGGATATCTAGAATCTTTTCAACAATATTCCCCAGAAATAGACTGGGTAAGTGGTCAAAACAGTTGGTTTCACAGGCGGCTTCTTAAGAAAGAGTGTACGACCGCTTTCTTCCAGACAGGCAAAGCAGTATATAGAAATTTTGACCATTTTCTTAATCCAGACACTCACAGCTTACATGATTACCCAAAGGAGATAGGAGGAGCCTGGATCTAAACCAGAAGTGCCCAAGTTCATATCCTAGACAATCCTATTGATTTGGGGGGGGGGGGGGGGGATTTGTCTTTACTTTCAACAGCTGAGAGAATAAGGAAAATTCAAAAGGGAAAAAAATAATTCAATAAGGAAGGACAAATCAACTCAAAATTTACTGATGAGGTGGCAAAAACAAAAACCCAGAATTGTACTTGGTTCTTGTAGCATATGCAAGCTCGATCAGAGCTATCTGCAAACCCATAAACGATATGCATTTATTTATATCCTGCCGTTATTTTTTTCACAAATAACTCAAAGCAGCAAACATATCCAACACACTTTCATCCTATTTTCTCTACAACCACCACACTGAGGTACCATGGTCAAACTGAAATCATATCCCACAAGTAGTGCTGGCAAATCATTTCTCTACTATTACCAGGAAATGATACAGACATCTCCTTCTGGTCCCCAGGATGCAAGTTACTTCATAGGAAGCCAAAATTATTCAGTCTCCTTGCATCACATTTGGATAGTTATGAGAAAGCTTTTTGCTCTTAAGACGTTAAAAGAGGCAAATAAGATACCATTCTGAACACTTAGTTTTATTCAAATGGCCCTGCAGGCCTGTGCAGCCCACCATTCCTAATAATTGAATACGTAAGTAGATGTAAAGATTTCACGGCTCTCTTCATATGGGAGGTATGGAGGAGGGACAAAATTCTCTTAGTACAAGTAGGTTGCATTTTTGGGTGGATGTTCCTCTGAGAAATCAGACATTTCAGACATTTTAGCAATATCCAATATATGGCAACTGAAATAACATACCCTTATGCTGCCTTGAGCTCATTTCAGTCAGTAATTGAGGTGTCTGGTTCTCTAGAATCATTTCTCAAATTTTGCTCAGGCATCAAAATAAGTGGGATTCTTATTGCAAGTGAATTCCAAGGTATGGAAAAATAGTCAATAACTTTAAAATATATTCTTTGCTGCATGTCTAGAAGAAGGGAAAGGGGGAAATCACTCTACCTTCACATATTAGAAAGTTAAAACTTACTACATATCTCTCAAATGTTCCTGTCACATTACAGGTCTGCCTTGTGTATTCCAAGTTCAGGGTAAGGTTATTTAGTCTTCTAGTTCAGATTCGGTAGCAATTATCAAAAAACTCAGGTAGGGGTCTGCTAATTCTCCTACATTTGATTCCTTGATTAATTAGGGGAAGTATTCAAAAATTGGAAAGAGGTACTCAGAGAGCATTATGGTGAGGTTGAAGAAGACAGAAAAGTGAAAAGAAACATTGTCAGGTTAATTTAATATCAAGCCCCTAAAACAAAACTTTTTAATATAAATTAAGATGGTGATTCATTCATGGAATTTCTGTACAAACAGTCTTTTTATGACTTAATAAAGTCAAAAGTTTGATTCAGGATGAAATTGCTCTGAATTTTCTTCATTTGTTCAATTGTAAGTCTTGAAACAAATATAGCCTGTGGGCAGTTTCTTGTACATGACTGATCTGAAGATGCTTTAACCTTTGACCTTGCCCTTTTTCCCAGAAAGTTGTCCTGTGGCTTCAAGGTATTGGTTAATTAATTCTTCCTGTGTATTGATTGAACAGACTTGGTATTTAGTGTATTCCATTGTGTATTCTCCTTTTCCCTGGAGAGAAAACATTGTCATGTTATGAATAATTTAAACAATTTATCAATTGTCAAAATGGTACAGTGCTAGTTTACATGCATTGCATGGTGTTAAGAGAAAGTTACAAGCATAGTTGACACAATAAATAACCGATAACTGGACTAGCAACTGACTTTACAATTTGAAAAGGCATATAGCAATTCTTTGAAATACATACACTCCTAGAGATAAAAAGCTAGATTTTCAAATCAGCTTGCAACCTTTCCCTATTCACGTCTTTGTCTGTACTCCTTTTCCTTCACTTTCTCTTCTCATAAGGGTGATAAAAAAAGATTTAAACCAAAGGCAGAGTCTATTTATTTATTTATTTATTTATGTGCTGCCCATCTTGTCTAGAGGCCACCTTGGGTTGCTTACAAACATTTATCTGCCCTGGTGGATCATCTGGCACAGAGTAGCTGTGTTTTAAATGAACCAACCAAAGCTGTCCAACTCACACTGTTCTTCACCAGGAGTCAACACAGAAGGGAAAAAAAGGTGTAGGCAAAGCAAGAGCTTCTGCATGAACATAAAATCTGTTTATGCTAGTTTTGCCCAAATCCATATTTCTCTCTTGAAGAGGAAGCAAGAGGCAAAGGAAAAATATGCTTGGAGCGGCTAACAGTGGCAGTAATGTGAGGCACAATTAGTCAAATGGGTTTGCTTAACAGACCAGATGAAAATCTCAGGCAGACAGAACTTAGGGTAAAAGCTCATCAACTCTTCCCTAAATTATTCAGTCTCAATTCCTAGATATTCCTTCTTTTTTTTTTTTGCTAGGTTACATTCTGGATCTTTTCTTTTGTTTTCTTTTTTTATTTTCCTTTCCTTTCTCCTTTCCTTTCTCCTTTCCTTTCTCCTTCCATTTCCATTTCCCTTCCCCTCCCCTCCCAGTTCTATTCCTACTTTATTAGTTTAAACAAAATTATTTATTTTCAGAAGTTGCATTTATACAAACATTGAAAAAATGGCATGTCCTATAGCAAAAATGACCTGAATGAGATAATGATAAATGCTGGAAAACTATAACATTGCTTTAACAAATTCAGAAAGTATATCTGCTCACTAACCTCTGTACACGACCTTAGTTCTGTAGCATATCCAAACATACTGTTCAATGCCACCTAAGGTAAAAGTGATAGAGAGAGAATTGATAATAATTGTTTCTCTTAAGAAGCATCCATAAAATTATGAATCGGGGTTTACAAGTCACTTACACATCTACCCTTAAATGCACAGTAAAATTTACCTTCTTCATTCCCTGTAAACATATGAAGAACGGTTGCAGGAACTGGGCTTGGCTAGTCTTGTAAAGAAAAGGACCAGGGGAGATATGACAGCAGTCTTCCAATATTTGAGGGGCTGCCACAGGGAGGAAGGGGTCAAGCTATTTTCTAAAGCGCCTGTAGCCCAGACAAGGAATAATGGATGGAAACTGAACAAGGAGAGATTTAATCTAGAAATAAGGAGAAACTTTCTGACAGTGAAAACAATCAACCAATGGAACACCTTGGCCTCAGAAGTTGTGGGAGTGCCATCGCTTGAGACTTTCAAGAAGAAATTGGACTGCCATCTGTGAGAAATGGTATAGGGTCTCCCTCTTGGGCGGGGGGTTGGACTAGATGACCTACAAGGTCCCTTCCAACTCTGATTATGTTATCTGTTAACTTAACAACAAAGAATCCTATGACACCTGAAATCAAGTTATTGATATGTCCTGTTGTATGAACTGTAAGATATAGATGCAATTCCATTGTTTCCTCTTCCAAGGATTCAGACTCAACCATGTGTGAACCAATCCAGGAATTCTGAATTTCTTGTGTCATAAAAATACAACCTGATGCTCTTTTCCACGCATCATTCATTTGAAAGGATTATCAAATGAACTTTAAATAATAAAAGTGCCAAAATGAACAGTTAATGTCTAATTTTATTGAAGTTTATTTATTTAGCATATAGCAATGTAAAGAAAGCTGGGAGTCTTCTGCATTGAAAGCAGTAGATGTTCGGCAACCAATGAGACCCGCAAGCAGCATACTTCTTGGTTGAGACAAATTAGCCAATGAATCACCATTGCCTGAGAATTGCCCCATTGGGGGCTACCTTCTTCCGTCCCCACCCAGGTTCCCACCAAAAT